ACATAAAATTAGATTACTATTTATCTCTTACTAAATGAATCACAATGTATTCCATTTCTTATAACCACAATTTTCTTATAACCACAATAATTTATATTATTTCCTATATTCACACACCAAAAGAAATAGTTGCTGAATACAACAATACACTTTACTCTACCAAGCAGTCATTACTCATAAATAAACTCACTTCATATAGTAATTCCACCAATATTATTCATTATGAGAAATACTCATCACCAATTATTATAGCAATTCACACCAAATCCTTCAATATTCAAATCTTATAAAAATCATGTATATCCATTCCATCAAGAAAAATATTTATCTTAATAATTATAAGAAATTCTACTAACCAACATCATGTAAATTTATGTAAATTTCCATCAAATACATATACTAAAATAATTCAATACTCTAGTTAAATGGATTCTAATGGTCCCAAATTCGAATCATTTAGGTTTCTCAATATTAAATAATTAGCAACTCATTCCACAATTCCGCAGGCACATGTATAACACATTCATGGAGTCTTCAATTATATAATATATTCCATATTCAACACGTTTAAATAAAAATAGTATAACTTTCATATATACTTTCATCATTTAACTTTAACTTATTAATCATATATAACTTATCTTCTTACCTACTTAAATTATATATGAATATTATTTATTCCATAGAAAGATTTTTTTTGCTTAAACCATCCCTTAGCATCAGTAACTAAATCACATTTCTAAAGAACAAGGATACAGATTTTAATCATTAAACAACTTGACTTTATCCTAGCTGCGAATCACGCTGAATGGGAAAGCAAGGAAAACTATGTCAAGACATGACAGGAATTACTCCGCAGTTACATCTAGACTTATGAACTTTTGCTCTGATACCACCTTTCTGGCCCGTAGTAAGCCTAAATTATCCAATCTGTCTACCTATCTTGCCCAATTAATTCATCAAAACAGTAAGCCTCAATCTCAATTAACACAGAATATCTAACCAGGACCTATTCACAATAAATTATAATCAGATTATGGGCTTATTAGTTCACTTGCAGTTAATTACATAATATTTAATTTATAGTGTAATGCTAACAATAAGTCCAATAGTAATACACAACCCTATAACTGCGGAGTTCAAAAAAAAAATCTGATAATAGAGTAACTTATACATCCAAAATTAAATAACAGAAATATAAAGTTTACATTTATAACTCTGCGGAGAAGATTGCAGAGCTTCAGTTGCAGAGTTTTCAGTCGAATCAGCTGCTTCCTAGTACCTGGGAGGTTTGGAGAGAAGGGGGTGAGTTTTACAACTCATGAATAATAATAAATAAACACACCACATACAGTCAAGCAAAATGCACCCTAGTATACTGAATGAAACACACAACAGTCAATCATATGATCATTACATCAGCACCTAAACAATATCACCTTCAAAAATATCACATCACGTTGAAAATTTAGTACAGTGGAGTCACCGAACCCCCGGATGAGCGTCCTCCCCCACATGGCTCATCCTCTCACGTGTGCACCAGGGAGCGCGATCCCATACTGGCCGACGGTCCTATATCCTCAAGCTTTGACCAGCCTCTCAATTGTTTTCTTCCATTCTCTCCTTTTCTTTTCCAATACCAACAGGAGGCAACCCCGGTGGTCTCCACCAATCTAGATCAATCATGCGCTCTACAACAGGAGGCCACCTCGCGGGCTTGCGATCAGATCTTAGACTATCAGGTTGCGCAACGACAGAGAGGCAATCTGTGGTTAAGCGGTAACAGTAAACGGTAGGTGCACGGGCGCCGATCTCCCCAGTTTACCCGGCTAACGATAATCATAATTTGGATCCATATAATGGTAACGGTCTCACAAACCCATGGTGACCCACTTCATCCCAATTCCCACAACAATCACAGTAATAGTCACATGGCACAAATAATCAGAACAATTCATTCATCAAGAAGCACCAATTCAATCCAAAATGCACAATTATATATAAGTAATTATTATTAGTGATCATAACATAATATATATGATAAAATACTTAATAAGATATCTGTAAATATTGTAATAAAAATTTAATATTTATTAATAAATGTTCATGCAAAATGCAGTGTTGATGATGGCATTATTTATTTAACTCCACAGTGATAGAGAAGCGAAATTCTAAGCTTTGATGTTGTCTGGAGGAGCACTAAGATGGACCCGGCCGATCTAAGCAAAGTAAGAATGAACAAAAAGAATAACTCTATTCAGACTAAAATAATTTTCTTTACCACTTCTAATAATTTTATTTTATATCTAAATTTTTTAACGTAATTTTAATCTCGATATTAATTTCTTTTCTGTAATAATTTTATTCTTATCTAACTCTATTTCAATTTATTCGTTCTAAAAATCTATTTTATTTCCTATCGAAATCTAATTTAATTTCTACCGAAATTTTATTTTAATTTTCTACTGAAATTTATTTTATTTTCTAAACCGAAATTTTCGGACAGCATCTCCCCTAAAAATTGGAACTATCCACCCTGTTAAAATTATCAACATTATTATAATTTCAAACCACACAAGCCCATCCGTCGGGCAATCAATCAATGCAAATTTTTCCCCGTCCTCCATCAAATAGTAATATCAAAATTACATGTCAACTTAACATCAACCTACTCCATAATTTATAAATTAAAATTACAATACAATATAATCTACCTTCAATCCACACTTAATTTCCAAATATAATTTTTATTACCGAATTCCTAATAATTTTTTAATACTGTAATACTGAATTTAATTTTAACTAACTATTATTTTTATTAATCAAGTAATTAAACTAATCAGTAGATCTAGCCAAATTAAATTAATTTAACTAATCAAAATTGATAAATTAAATTAATTACTCAAGATTACTAAAACCAATTACTAAAATCAAGTTAATCAACTAAAATTATTAGAATTAAACTAACTAAAATGACTAGATTTAATTAACTATCATTAATAAAATTAAATTAACGAAAATGTAGTTAAATTAATTTATACCCCAAATATAATTTTTTTTTTTTTGTCGAATTTTTTGCTAGATCGGAAATTTGCTCGTGTCGGATCGGAGCTACGCACGCCGGAAGTGGTCGGATCCGACTGACAGTGGCAAGGGAAGGCGAAGGGAAGGGCGAAGGTGGCACGATCTGGTGGTGTTTCTGCGACAGGGAGCTGAGCGGTGGCTGGGTGATCTGGCAGAGGGCGGAGGTGCGGCCCTGGCGGTGAGGCCTGAAGCCTTGGTGCTGCTGCTGTAGGCCGACAGACCTGGCAGAGGCCGACTGTGGCGCGCGGGAGGAGCTACGGGAACGGGCTGGCGCGGCGATGTTGAGGCGGTGCGACTGCAACTAGGCGCGCGTGGTGATCGGCTGATCGTCTCACATGGGCTAAGGGGTGGGGAGAGCCCGAACGGTTGCTGGATTGCTGGCCAGTGACCGCAGAGCGCACACGTTTGCAGGGAAGAATGGAAAGGGAACAGAAAGACAAGGAAAGACAAGGAAAGAAAGAAAGAGAGTAAAGAAGAAGAAGACAGAAGGAAAGAAGATAGAAGAAGAGAGGGAGTGAGGAAGGTCGCGGTGGACGCTGTGTTGGTGGAAATCGTGGTTCGTGACTTGTGTGGATGGTGGGGCGCTGGTGAGGTGAGAAGTAAGAGTGGCAGCGCTGTGAGATAAAAAGAAAAAGAAAAGAGATTTGTTTCTAGATGGTTTGGGTTGAACCGGTTCGATTCGGTTCCGATTCCACCCAAATCTTTGGATTTTCAAATTGTTTCTTGGCTTTTTTCAATCGATTTTTCGGTTCGATTCATCACAGTGTTTTGCAATAAAATATTAAAAATAAATTTCCAGCTGTCGGTTTAATAAATTAATTGGAAAATCTTTGAAAATAAAAATTCGGGGTTGGTTTCAAACTGGCCTTTGGTTTAGTTTTCCTAATAAAGTGCACAATGCAGCAAAAATTTAGCTATTTTAGTAAGTATTAACTATCTTAGTAACTTTTCATAAAACGCTAAAAATTAAAACATTAAATGAGTTAACTTCTTCGCAAAACGCTATTCATAATCTCTATAAAGCTAACCGATATCTTTAAACAGAGTTTTAAACGTTTTGAACTGGTCAAAACAGCGCTGGAGATAAAAAGAAAAGAAAGAGATGTTTCTAGATGGTTTGGGTTGAACCGGTTCGATTCGGTTCGATTCCACCCAAATCTTTGATTTTCAATTGGTTTTTGGCTTTTTCAATCGATTTTCGGTTCGATTTCTCACAGTGTTTGCAATAAAATATTAAAATAAATTTCCAAGCTGTCGGTTTATTAAATTTAATTGGAAAATCTTTGAAAATAAAAATTCGGGTTGTTTCAACTAGGCCTTTGGTTTAGTTTTCTAATAAAGTGCACATGCAGCAAAATTAGCTATTTTAGTAGTATTAACTATCTTAGTAACTTTTCATAAAACGCTAAAAATTAAACATTAAATGAGTTAACTTCTTCGCAAAACGCTATCATAATCTCTAAAAGCTAACCGAATATCTTTTAAACAGAGTTTAACGTTTTGACTGGTCAAAACATTGAAAGCTACTTAAAAAGTTGATACTGAACACAGTCGTAAAGTAAAGCTATGTGGATGTACAGGCGGTAGGCTATCAGTTAAAAAACAAAAAACACAAAATAAGAAAAATGTAAAATTTATTTATAAATAAATTTTTTATATTTGAAATGAATTTAAAATTTAAAATTTATTTAATTTTATTTCTTAAAAAATACTTAATATAATAATTTTAAAAAGCTAAAAGGATTACGAGTAAATTTGTAGAACTCATTTAGTAATTCCACATTTTTTTTAGTAAAGTCTGATTCAATTATATTTAAGTCTCCTACTTTTCATATCAAATACAAAAATTTAAATTTACAAATAAATTCTACAAAATTTTATGAAATGCATTTATTCTATGAAATTCATTTAGTCTATGAGTCTATGAAATTTATTTATTCCAAACAAGGTTAAATGCAATCAAATTAAAGTTTGTGTCTTAAACATATCAATTACAATAACGTCTACCGCTATTTATACTAGTTTGTTGAATGCAGGCCAAGTAGAACAGATACGGGCTGTAATAACAATATACACATACACGATTGGGGCTTTCAATTCTCAGGCCCATGTGAACCACATACTGGTTTTGCTTCGGGCTTTATCCTTGGGGCCTTATCCAAGGTTAGCGTCAGCAGATCCAAGGTGAGCGTCAGCATTAACACTCTGGTTTGATAAAATTAACTATTAACTCCTGACATTTTTCAAAAAATATAACAATAAATATCCGTGGTCTCTTTATTACCGTGCCTTAAGACTAATAAGTTAATATGATTAACCAACCAGTAATTAGTCCAATGTGATGAGGCATTATATAATGTCCGAGGTTCGAATCTTCATAGAGAAAACTAAATTGAAAGGATCGAATCGAATCTTCTTAGCATTGTAAATAGAGAAAACTAAATTGAAAGGATCTCCTGCATTACGAACCTTTGCCTGTTTGGTTGAACCAAAAATAGAAAAGTTAATATTGAAATTTCATTTCAACATTTTACCTAATATAATATTAACTTTATTGAAATTTTATTTCAACAATTTACCTAACATCATAAAATTATTTTCGCAGGATGATGAATCGATTTTAATTACAATAGAACACCAAACCATAGTTCATTTTGTTCAGTTATTTTTAGTGAACAAATTATTTTTATGTCGAACATTTAACATTTCTTAAAAGCAATGAAAGATAAATGTACCGTAGTTCTCAAAGTTAAGTTATATGAATGTATAAGGCATCTACATAATAAAATGAACAGGTATCAAATTATGAGGGGCTTTCGCTTATCAAGCCTCGATTAAAAAAGTATGCACGTGGATGCAAGTGCAAATGTTTAATAAAAATTATGCTTCACAAATCATTATAGACCTAGTGATTTGCTTAAGCAAACACCACTTGCTTCTTCAGGCTCAAACCCTCGCAACAACTGTGCTCACACAAGCAATACAAAAAAAAGAGACTTCCTCGAGCTTTTGTTTTGGCTACTAAATTCTAATCCAGCCATGACTTCTATACATAAACGGCAGCAAAACATAGTTAATACAACAATGCTGAATGACAATTATATTGCAGAAACATCAGTTTTTTTGAGACTCCAAACTAAAATGAAGAGTTTGATGATCCTGTCTTCTTAAATCTAAGTTCATAAATATGTAGTGCATACAGATGACTAATTCCTAGTTTTCATACGATCCCGATTTTCCGGAAAAGGCAGCAGGCTATCATTTAGCACCTACTTCATTGTGGTACACATTTTTACTCTCCATATGCTCTATTAAGCTATTAGAAACCACAAACAATTAAAAACATGATTCAGATCATTTACTTCAGAAGGAAAGATGGATGGGTGCATACATACAAAGTACAAAGTACAAACTACAAAAGCGAAATTCTACATACAAAGTCTACATGTTATGAAAGGGTCGCAGACAGTCAATGCAGCTGTACCTGATCATCATAATCATCCTCATCTTCGGCAAAATACTTATCTTCAGCGTCATGGCTGGCTTCTCTAAGCCAGTGATCATCCAAGGTCTCATCTTCGTCTATTTTTGAGTAATCCAAGTGTTGATCGTCTTCCCCAGTAAGAAACTTTTGGTGCATAATATATGTAAATTGATTCATCATATCTTCTTTCTCTTCTAGTGACAAAGTTGCTCCCTCATTCTGTAGCTCCCTGCTCGATTGGGCATCATTGCTATCCTCCAACATCTGAAAGTGGTAAATGTAAAAAGCTCATTACATGTGAAACAACTTGGGAGCCTATTTGGCGTTGTGGTTGACAATGCTCTTGGAGAAGCATGCTTTTAGATGATGTTGGGAAAAAAAACAGGTTTGAAATCTTGTTTAACAATTTTGAAGCTTTTATGATTAATCTATGTGAAATTCAACTTAAAAATAAACTTAAATGACCTCTAGTCGACAATTTCAGCAAAGTGCATTTTATCAACAACTCAAACAATAATGCTATTCATACTCTTAGCAGTAACAGACTTGTATTAACAAAATTCTAAAATGAAGAAATGAAATTTCATGATAGCTCTATTTATATAGCCACCTAAAATTAACTGAAAGGAAGATCAAGTGATAAAGCATCAACAATGTAAGTCAATTATTATGCAAACGCACACCGAAACTTGCATAGTTTCCTTTGACATGATAAGAAGAATCCTCTTAACTTTATGATTGCAGGTTCAATGCAGTGTTATTTTTCCTTGCCAGAAGAGGTAATATTATCTGAATTTGTACTGCTCCGAATTAAATGATTTAAACAATCTTCCAATTTTCATTTATGTTTGTCATATTAACTAACCCCAACTTATCTGGGATCAACATAATTTAGAGTTTTAGATTGACAACACAGGCACAATTGAGAAATCCAACACAAGTTCAGCAAAAATATGAAATATCCAAAATGGTCTTAACTAAAAAGGAATATACAAACTGAAAAGGAAAATATAAAACTCTTCCAATGCAGTGAAAGAAAATTATACCTCTACACAGTTGAAGAAGCTGCTACCTAAAAGATTCTAAAATAATGTAACAAAAAGTATGGAAGATTCAATTGGCTTTGCCTGGTTGAGAAAAGGCAAGTAATAAAAAAAAAAAAAAAAGAGACAAGATCCATTATTTTCAATTGTTCGGTATCGAGACTTAGCAGAACAAAGAAACGCATATTCACACCAGCGGAAATGATTTATCAAAACTTGAAAATTATGGAACCAGGAATGCTAACTGCCAAAGGGATGAAACCCGCATTTAAATTTTTTGACACAAACATTTTATCATGCAACAGAGATCATGATGAGGAACTAACACATAGAACTTCATAAATGTAGATGTAAGGCAATAAAAGAATGTCATCTACCTCAGAGGATAGTGCACTATTAGGAGCCTTCTTTGCTTCTTCATTCTCCTCATCCTCTTCTTCCTCTTCTTCTTCTTCTTCTTCTTCCTCCTCCTCCTCTTCTTGTTGGTTTGTTTCATTACCAATCCAATCCCTCTCAGCCACACCCAACCTCTGCTGCTCTGCTCTAATCTTAGAAACCAAAATAGCTTCCTCAGACCGCCTCATCAACGTCTCTGACCACCGCTCTCCTGGCCTAGCCATACGCCTAGCACTCTGATCCTGAAACTTCCCAACAAACTCATGATGCAAATATGGCTCTCTTTCCCTCATTGCATCCTCAGAGAAGTAATTCCCATCATGAATCAATTTATTCAAGTAAGCCAGTCTCCTGTTTTTAACCTTCACTGACCTTGACCTCAACTCCTCAGAAGTTGGACTAGCTTTGCTTCTTAGATTCTTGAGATGCCAATTTATCTCATAGTCATTGTTTAACATATCAAATTCCCCAAGCTCTTCACAAGTCAATTGCGTTCCATATCGCTCTGGATATAAAAGGACAAAATCAAATAAATCAGGAGGCTATAATATCATCAATTAAGCAACTAAACCTAAATTAGGTCAATTAAGGCGACTTTGTCATAGAAAATTAGTAAAAAACAAAAAGTTTGTCCTAACTTCTATTTCTGTTTTCCTCTGTTTTCTTGGTATTCAAATAGAAATTCAGAGTTCTCAAAGAATTCAAATAGAGAGAGAAGTACCTAGAAAAACAGCGGCGTCACGGTCGAGGAGGTCGAGGAGGAGAGACTTGCGGTTGGAGGGATCAGTGGCGGTGGATTGAAGAGCACGAGGGAAGTAGAGATTTTCCATTGCCGAGAGCCTCTGTGTAATGCTTTCCATTGCTTCTTTCCGTACCGTTTTCTCCATATTCATTCACTTTGTTCAGAATCCTTTTGGTTTTTGTCTTTCTTTTGCTGCTGTTTCTGTCTCCGACGATTATATATTTCAGCCCTCCTCGCCCTCGAGTCGGCAAGGCTACGGGGTCTAGAGAGAAATGGACTCACGTGTTAACGCTCATCGGATCGGTTCAAATCAAACCAAGCTTTTAGTGAACCAAAATTGGTTCAGAATCGACGATTCTGAAAGTTCAATTAGAGCCCGATCCAATACAGTTCAGTTAAAAAAAAAAAGTTGATTTTTTTATTTACCTAGTTCAAGCATATTTTTTTTAGGAAAACTCCCGTAATACTGTCTTTATGACTTAAATTTAGGATTTAAGTAAATTCAAAAAATGCAGAATTCATTACGAATGGATATATTCATTTGTAAAAAATTTTCATATTTAAAATAAATTAAAAATTAAAAATTGTTTACTTTTTTTTCATAAATATCTTTCACATAATCTATAACAAATATAAACGTGGACCAATGAGATTTTTCAAATTTATCGTTAGTGATATTATAAATATCCAAATTTGTGCTTAGTTATGACCAATTAAAATAAAAAAAATTATACCAACGCACCTATAAAAAGAAGTGAAGAGCCTTAACTGTTATTAAGCCCCGAGCCGGATTAAACGGTCTCTGGTAATAGGATCTGGATATCAACAGTTTTCACCAAAAATAAAAAATAAAAAAAGTTTATGAACACTTATATCTAATTTGAAAATATAGGAAGGTTTCTCTCATCTTTTCTCTCTAGTTTATTTAGCTCTAGTTTTTATTTGGGGTTGCTGCTATATTTTATTTTTTTCTTCTCACTCCTGATCTTTTATTCATTTTTAATACACTTAGATCTATTTTCTTCCAATAGATATGTTTTTTTTTTTATTATTTTTTTATTTTTTATTGTTGCTTGGTTTCCATATTTGGAGTTTTTTGTCCCTTCTTCCACGAGGATTTAGTTCCTTCTTGTGAAGATTTGTTATTAAAAGGTATGACATTTGATTTTATTTGGTTGGAGAATTTAGATTTTATTTTACTGATGTGTATCTTCGATTAATGGAGCCTAGTAGTACGGCCTGTTCCTTTATTGATACTATTAATACATAGTGACACGAACTCATCCGTGTACGTCATATATAACAAGTTTTTGGAAAAGCTATCCAAGCATAGAAGATTCGGAAAAATTATTTTATTGTCCAAATCAATTAAAGGACCAGTTGCTATTATGAAAATTTATGTTGGTCAAGGTTACCTTCAAGCGGAAAAATTTAATGTTGTTTCTTTTAAATTTAGTTTTTTTTAATATAGATTTTTTTTTATTGTTAAAAGATTATCGAACTTTTTATTAATTATGATAATAAATTCTATGTCTAGTGAATACTTGTAATACTTAATTTTATTATTAATGAATTATATTTCTTAAAAAAAAAGGTTTAATTAAAAATTTTAAAATATCATTGGCCATATCTGAACAGGATAAAATTTAACATATAAAAAGAATAATAACGAGATTGAAGCTTTGTACGAGGCTGGCTCTTAAAGGATAAATTGAATTCAAGCAACAATAAATTTCTTCAACAAAAAATAAAAATAAAAAGAAAGAATTGAGATTATAACACTTAGAAAATAATCAACAGCAATAATAATCAAATAAAAATTTCCAGATTACATATAAACAAAAAAGAGAGAATTTACAATTCGAGAAATAAAGTCTTGAACTCTCTTCTTCCTCTTTCATTTTCTAGAAAATAGCAAAAAATATAATGGCAGACTAATTTTTTTAAAAGAAAGAGAGAATAGTTGCTAAATTTATCATTTCAAAATGCATAAAATAGAAGACATCTACTTAGAAAGGAGGAACTAGCTAATTTTTCAGTTGCCAGAAAAATCTCTTGCCGATGATAAACGGAAAAGAAGTGTCTGCTATTGCCAAAAACCTAAACTAATAGCGGAAGATTAACGCCTTTTGAATATAAGAAAGTTATTAAAAATTTTATTGAGACGATGTCGTTTCCTTTACCTACCGTCTACAGCTAATATTTTAGCTATGAAAAATTTTGTAGCTATATATATCCCGTGTCATACTGTATTCCTATTTGCAGATATGTTGATGCTATTTGGTGGCAACTGAAACGGACAAAAGACAAATGTGCATTTTAGCTACGAAATTCTTTCCGTAGCTAAATAGCTATGGAATAACTTCAAAACTTTGTAGCTAACTCTTTTATTTATTCTTCATTTATTCTAGGATTTTTCTGTCTCTAAGCATAGCAAAGCAAAATAGCAATGGAATTGCGTCTATAGCAATGTTCCATAGCAATTTCAATATTTTTTTCGTATAAAATATCCTTAGACATGACCAATTCTAAATGCGTCCGTGTGATATGAACAATTGAATTAAAATCCACAAGGTCATTTTCAAAGCAGATCGAATCACTTATGAGGAAACATCTATTACAAACCACATCAAAAAGTTGCGACATACGCTATCATTCATAACTCAATACGTGACTAATCCAATAAGCAACTACAAATCTGCAACTGATTAGAGAAGTTAAAAACTAGTCATATCATGATTACCTGCACTTTGACAACTCTTAGAAGATTATTCTTAATCATATATTGATAAAGATCTTGTTAAACTCTATATAAAGAATCTCAACATCCTACATCTAAATATACATAACCAATCCTTATTTATTCTGAAAATTCTCTCATACGTTCAGACCTTAGCATCAGGATGCTTGTAGGTACACTTATCTTGACACTCTGATAGATCTACCACTCAACCTTACTTCTAGCATTGCTTTCTACATTATTGATTTCATATCGATTCGTAGGGGTTAGCATTCAAGCAATTCAGTCAATTTGAGCAATATTTTTAATCGAAATAAATTAAGTGAAATTTTTTTTGGTTTAACCGAATTTAATTGAACTAATTTTTTAATTAAACTTAATTGAACCGTTTTGACTGAATTAATTTTTGTCATTAATCAAACTTAAGTTAAAGAAAATAAAAACTTAATTAACCAAAATTTATGATTAATCAATTTTAACCGAAATAAAAATTAATTGAAAATTTTAATCACTACTTAATCAAAACGATGTAGTTTTAGAGCGAGTTAATTTGATTAATTCGGTTAAATTAATTTTTAATTGATCATCGAAAATTTAATTTTCTTTAATCGAATTTTTAATTGAATATTTATTTATTGAATTGAATTGGCCGAATTAACCGAATTAATCAAATTGACTAAATTAACCAAACCGAATGCTCACCTCTATCAATTTGTGACTCAAAAGTATAATAAAACTAACTTTTGTATCTTTTAATACTAGAATAACATAATGGTACTAAAATATCAATAGTAATAATGATAATAATTTTTAGCAAAATTAATTATACCTATAAATATCGAATTTAATAAAAATGATGAAATTAATCTTAAAGTTCAATTTGGATTTAATCCATTAGCATTGTTGCGGACTCAGGCCCAATACCAACCCATGGCCTCAAATGTATGCACTGGGTTTTTGGGTTTCGGCTCTCATACCTCGACAATAAAATCTTTGGATTAATTATATTTCACAAAAAAAAAAAAAAAAAAAAAACCTATAAAATATCGTAATTTAATAAAAAAATGATGAAATTAATCTTAAAAGTTCAATTTGGATTTAATCCATTAGCAATTGTTGGCGGACTTCAGGCCCAAATACCAACCCATGGCCTCAATGTATGCACTGGGGTTTTTTGGGTTTTCGGCTCTCAATAACCTCGAACAAATAAAATCTTTGGATTAATTATATTTCACCAAAAAAAAAAAAAAAAAAATTATTGAAAATTAAAATCTCAAATTAAAAAAAAAAAAAAAAAAAAAAAATTATTGAAATTAAAATCCTCAAATTATTTTAATACATTAAGAATTCTCAGAGAGCAAGGGTAGGGTATGAATAATAGATTTTGTATGACATATATATGATATACACTCAACCATTAACCTATTGATCCTATAAAAATAATAACCAATTGAAATAAATGTCTGGCTAAATAAAATAATTTTTCCATTTCAAAAATGGATTCAATTGATTAAAAATTTTCCATTATTATTTCTATAAAGTTTATATGAGGTCTACATTCTAAAGATATTATCTCCTGGATTTCAATTCACTAATAAATACACTTAGATGAACTTTAATAACGTCTGACATTTAAACTTAAATTTTTGCATTTCATAGTTTTACATTGTTTGATATCGTTTTGTAATTTTAAAGTCTCAATTAATTTTTAAGATTCACTTTAAAAGATAAATATAAATTAAAATGATTTGAAATTTTCACAAATTGTTATTTAAATGATCTTTCCATAAATAATCCTTTTATTAATTGGGCTTCTATTTCTTCTATGGGTTTGTTCGATAAAATTAGCTGATTTAGTAGCTATTAGGTGAAACGTTATCCTACCTTCTAGAAGTTAGTTCAAATGCTATATTACTAAATACTATAAAAAATAACATTTGACCTATTTAAAAAATTATTGTCGAAAACAACTTATGTCTTGGTGCGTTCTTCTATATATTTTTTTTTTATTATTGCTTCAACGTGCAATATCAATTGTCCTGATACAATACGCTGGATATCATATTCTTTCTATGTAGAAAATATCAATTTTATTTTTCTAAATATTTTTTTTTCCCAACACAATTAAATAAACACTTTTTTTGCCTATAAATACCCTTAAAAGTTTTAAAGTTGGTGGCAAGCACAACAAATCTATTCTCGAACCCAATATCATGGCTTCCACAAAAATTTCCATCTTCTCATTCAGTCTCATTGTTCTAATTTCTTTTTTTTGTTCTCGTTTAGCTCTATCCCACTCAAATACTGAAAAATTATCACCATTTGCTTTCCTTGAACATCTTCAAGGCAGCAAGAAGGGTGATAAGATCAAAGGCATTCATGAGCTTAAAAAGTATCTCAAACATTTTGGTTATTTAAGTTGTGAAAACCAATCTTTTGCTGATGATGATGAATTTGACGATGTTTTGGAGTCTGCTCTTAAAGTGTATCAACTCAATTACCATCTGAACACTACTGGATTCTTAGATTATGAAACAATGTCAATTATGATGATGCCTCGATGTGGGATACCGGACATCATCAACGGCAGCACTCGAATGCTATCTGGAAAGAACAACCATCGCCATAGCTCTAGCTCTTTTCACATGGTTTCTCACTATACCTTCTTTAGAGGGAAACCAAAATGGCCAGTTTCAAAGTACAATCTCACTTATGGGTTTGAACCCAGTACCCCGACTGAGGCAAGGGGTGCTGTTGCGAATGCTTTTGAAACGTGGGCTACTGTTACAAAATTCAAATTCACAAGCGTTCAAGATTATAAAACAGCAGATCTAAAAATTGGATTTTACAGAGGTGAACATGGAGATGGGTTGCCTTTCGATGGTCCTGGTGGAATTACGGCTCATGCTTTTGCACCACAAGATGGAAGGTTTCATTACGATGCAGATGAAAAATATGCAGTGGGGGCAGTACAAGGTGCATTTGACTTGAAGACCGTGGCCTTGCATGAAATAGGGCACCTTCTGGGACTTCAACATAGCTCCCTTCAAGCAGCTGTTATGTATGCATATACGTCTCGTGGAGTGACCAAAGATCTAACCGCAGATGATGTTCAAGGCATTAGAGCTTTGTATAACTTCTGATATATTTTTCCATTGTTAATTATATCTATCCATCTTTTATCTTTTGTAACTTTTTTTTGTAGAATATGAGTTTTTTATGTTGAAATTCTTCTACCTTAAAAAGTTGAATGAAATAATTATCATAGCTAAGATATGTTGTTGAATTCTATTAATTATAGTAGATTATTTGTTATTTGGGAAAAATTTATCTAGACCGAGTCCATGTCTCCGCTTATACCAAACCAATGAAATTAACGATTTTTATTGAAGTGAATGTACTTCTAATCATACACTTAGAAAGAAAAAGATAAAATCGGAATACTTTTAAAAGAATTCTTATTTTCAAAAGAATTCTTATTTTCGTATTTCCTTTTTTTTTCTTTCAGTGTTTTTTTTTTTAAATTTTGTTTCCTCTCTTTTTGTGTTGTCATTAATAGAGTGATTTCTTTCAGTTTTTGAAACTTATTCAGCTGTCATTATATTTTCTTATTCTTTCAGCTCTTCCGTGGTTGCGTTTTTTGTTTCACAGGGTTTGTTGATTTCGTTTTTTGATTATGTTTTTCAGCTGCCGTTTCTCGATGTAAATAATTATTTTTATTTTTTATTCTATCATTCTCTTATGCGATTTCATTTTTATATAAGCATGTATTAGCAGCTTAATGCTCGCCGAAAAACTGTTATTGCTATGGATGTTGTTATGCTTTGAAGAGATGAGTTAAGACTCTTGATTTTATATGTTGTTTATGCTTTGAAGAGAAAAGTTAAGATTCGTTTGGATTGATACAAATATATATATATATATATATTTATGCTTTGAAGAGAAAAGTTAAGATTCGTTTGGATTGAACAAAATATATATATATATTTATATATATATATATATATACACACACACGGTATTTAATTGGTTTTACATATGTATATATATTGTGTATATCTTATATATTGTATATATCCTGTACATACCATATGTATGTATATATCATATGCAAAAAATGTCATACATGATGTTTTAATTTAAAAAAAATCTAAAAAAAGGATACAAATTAAGATAATAACAATTTTAGCCAAAAAAATTTAAATAATACCAAAAGTAACTTTACAAGAGAGAAACGACAAAAATGAAACAATAAAAAAAAGGAAATAATGAAAAAAAAGGAAATAATGAAAAAAAGGAAACATTAAAAAAAAGGAAACATTGGAAAAAAGGAAACACTATACTATTATATTTTGTAACGCCCTAGTAAAAAATAAAAGGGTACAAGAGAGAAATGACAATAGCGATAGGTGACAACAGCGATGGTAAATACGATATATATATATATATATATATATATATATATATATAATATATATATACTGATATAATATATATGATATATATACAATATATAGCATATATATGTATATATATTCAATATACAAGATATATAAGTATATATACATATGTAAAACCAATTAAATATAGATATAAAAACATCATTAAGGACCCTTCCAATATATATACATATGTAAAACCAATTAAATATAGAATATAAAAACATCATTAAGGACTTCAATTTGATTGGTTAAAAAATAAATGTAATTTAATTTTGATTGGCCATATTAATTTTCTATTTAAATCTAAATTTATTTGATGAAATAAGAAATTATATTACAATATATATTAAATATGGTCAAATATAATATTTTAAAAATTTTTAATTTTATTAGCTATCCCTCTCTTTTCTTCCAAAACCTAAAAGCTCTTTTTTCTTTTTCTATAGACGGCCACTGGTAGGCTTTCACCGGTGGTCCTCTTTCTCTTTATTTATTTATTTATTTATTTCTAATAATCCTCATATTTATGTCTTTTGATATAAATTTGAGTTATGGTTGTCAAATATTGAGATTTATTGTTGCCTATATTTTGAAATTTTATTTTCAAATCTACTTTTGAATTATTGTTGCTTACATTTTGAGATTTTATTTTCAAATCTAGTTCTGAGTTATTGTTATCACCAGAATGTTGATTCTATCTAAGTTTTTTGTTATTTGGACAATTATGCAGAAAAGAAGTGCATATGTCCTCTCTAAAAAAAATAAAATTTGAAGGCGATCAGATCAGACTTGTAGAGAGACTGTGAAGTCGAACAGTGTCCATGAATATTATATTCTATCAACTTGATCAAATACTTCGAATCAAGATTGTGTTTTTTTTTTTATATATAAACGATTTATTATTAGACTTTCTGTGTAAGAATATAGAAACATATCGATTTGTATCCCACATCTGTATATAGTTTTCTCTTAACAAAATTTCTAATTTGATTTCCTCTTAAAAAAAAGAATTTTAATTTTATTTGTTAAAAATAAAAAAAATTTAATTGGAATATAAATTTTCTATTTAAATTTAAATTGTATTGGATAAACTAAGAAATTATATTATATATTAAATAAGGGATTCATTAAATATAATAAAAATATAACATTTTTATAATTTTTAATTTTATTAGATTAAAAAATAACGATAATTTAATTTTAATTGGATATGTTATACCGTGCAGCATGTTCAATTAACCAGACCGTTTCTCAAGCCCATGATGAATTCATGACTGAACCTTTTTTTCTTCCCGCCTCAATAGATTGCAGGAACATGAACCGGGTCTTTTACGCAAGCATTTTGTGTTTCTGATCTCTCCGACGTGGTTGGCCGAGAGTTATCTCTCATGTCCAAAGAAGTTGCTTGCTTTCCTTCGGCTTTACATAATTGTTGACTTGTTGATTCATTATTATGTTGCGACCTCGTACTATCATTCTACGATTTCGATGCAGGTGTACGTTCCTTGTGAGGCTGATCGATCAAATTTGGTTGAGACTGCATGGGCTATGATGGGTTTGCTTCATAAAGGGCAGGTCAAATTACATTATAACCATTTATAGTATATTAGTACTAATCAAAATACATTATATTTTATGTTGAAGTTATTCTAAATTTCTTTTGAGAAGGTCAAGAGAGACCCTATGCCTCTTCATATCGCTGAAAAACTGTTAATTATAATAAAATATTCTTATATCAACGAATATAAATAACGCGCAATGCATATTAAAAAATACTAGTAAAATATAAATTATAATATAACAAGTTATATTAGCAAACCATATAACATATTGAAAAGAAATTTTTTTCCTCAAAAAAAAAAAAAAAATACCACAAAATTAATTATATGCTCATATACTTTATAAAAAAGTAAAAAATATTAAAATTTTAAACGATGCTCTAAAAAAATAATTAATATATTAATTATTATAATAGTTAATATTGATTTCTCATATTTTGCTCTAAAACAATAGTTTTTGCATTAACATAAAGTAAAATTTAGTGAATATCAAAGTTCAGTTTCAATTGATAATGACCATCATTAACTACATATGATGTTGATATTGAAATTAAAATTAATACAATAGTGATCAATAATAATAAGTGGAGTGATTAGTGTTCTACATACGTTTGATAACAAAAATAAATAAAACTTACACAAATAAAGTAATTATATCTAGTAATATACAATATATAATTTATTATTATATCTAGTATTTCATATCTATAAATTTAATAGGATTATTTTCTGGCTACCATTTTCACCGATGATTAATGCGTACTCAGTGAAAACACAAAATCATACACGCTATTTAACAAGTGGGCTTGTATGATGGGAAACAGCTAATTCTCTACGTGTGCTTGGACAGCTATGTGCCGCATTGAAGCAAAATATCTAATACTCTATTGTCAAAATAGGAATAATATTTAATTTATTACAATCATATATAATTTTATTTATATTAAATTTTCAACTGTTGTGCAAATAGAATAGTATTTAATTTATCCTTTGGAAAATTATGATCATGTATAATTTAATCAAAAATTAATTTTTTGAACCGGTTAAATTTATTAATTTATTAATTGAAATAAGTAATTAATATTTATACATATGTTTAATCATTAGTGAAAACGGGAGCTAGACAATAATATTTTAATTAAGATAGGACAAAACTTTTATAATAAGATTATCATTTTTAATTAAGATATGAAATACTAACAAATTATCATTTTTAATTAAGATATGAAATACTAACAATAAGATTTTAATTAGTATAAAATTTCTCAATTAGAAATTGCATTAAATTTCCACCATATTAAATTTTGCAGGTTTTTTTTATTCTTTCTTTTCAATTTAGTTTATATAATTTGAATTTCTTTTTATATAGCTTTTTATTTTCTTTTATGTTATTTGATTTACTCTTATATATATCACCTGCAGATCAACCGTTTTATTTTTGTTATTCTAATTTTTTTCTCATTTTTTTTATAGTTTTTGGATCACGATGCTCGCTTTTAAATATTTAAATAATTAAATAATTTCATTTCAGCTTTTAAATTTTAAAATAATAAATTTTAGTTTAATTTAGAAGTAAACAGCCGTAATTAATAACAATCTAATTAATTTTATCTCATTATCATGAGCACATTTTCTTTATTTTTATCTTCTTCATCTTCTACTTCTCAGTTTATCATTCTTGTATTATCAAGAATATATAAACAGGGAATATTTTGATCATCATCTTGCAAATATATAATCAGGAATGGATGGGCGGTGGAGACTGAATCGGGTCAAGCTCTAGATGCGCTGTTAATTTTTGTTTTCACTAAAATGTCTCTGAACGCAGAAGTAAATAGTAGTTTTTTTTTTTTTTTTTTTTTTTTTTTTTTTTTTTTTTTTTTTTTTTTTTTTAATTTCTATTTTTTTTTGTAAATCTCTATTTAATTTCTACTAATTTAACAGCATTAGTACTACTCTAACCTGGGGATTTTGTTTTATGAATATATATGTTGATTGATTTTGCTTTTAATTTTTTTTGGTTTAGTTCTTATCTATACGTAGGTAATGTGCTGTTTAATTATTTTTTTGTTTTGCTATTAATTGTATATGAAAAAAAAGGTGTATATGAAAAAAAAAAGTACTGACTATATCTCAAACTAA